AGAGCAATTGAAATCATGAAGAATCCAGGCCAGCGGTCGTGGTCCGTGTGTTTGTCCATCGCTGACATCACAAACAGTATCCTGACAGATAAAATGAAGATCCACTCTGTCTCCACACTGGCTCAGGGCTGGGGTGGTATAGGTGCAGAGGTGTTCCTCAGCCTGCCGTGATCTACATGTGTTACATAAATTAATTTAGCAACTTAGTCCATATGGGCTAACGTCTGTCTGACCCACCATGTGGATGCTGTGACAAGCCTAAACCGGTTCATATATGGATGGGAGGCCGGTTTCAGCTGGCTGCGTTGCCATAGTAACGACCTATCTATAAATACGGTCTGACTGCCTCACTAGCGTACTCTGCAGTTTCACTCCTGGTAGTGAGGATATCGTTAAGAAGCGAACTTCATTGCGAAGGGGAGCAACTTTTTCCCTTTTCATCCCAGCATTCGGGGCTAATGGACAAACTCTTTGTAAATGCTTTTTAAGGTAAGGGGTTTTTGGTTTCGTATGCCGGAAGCCGTTACATTTTAGCTTATATTTGCCTACTAACGTTAACCTGTACACTGTTTTCGTTATGGCCACTTAAAAAGAACAACGGGATGGGGAATTATGGACGTTTATCCGTCGCTGTTACGTCCGTTTAACATTAATCCTAAATTGAATCATTTTGGGGTGTTCACTAATATTACGACGTGGCCGGGGTTAGCAAGCAGTTAGCTATCTTCTTATTGTGTCGGCTAACGTTGGTAATTAACCGGTATAGCGTGATTTTATAATGCCAACTATTCAGGGCCATACATTTTTTACGTAGACGTTACGCCTAATAAGTTCTTGCTTTGGCTGTAAGAACGACAACTTAAAATGGTAAATTGCCTCATGGCACGAGGAGCCAAGAGCTCCAAGCGGCACCGGCATGTTGACGTCCACGTTCTTGGCTAGTCACTGATTGGTTCACTTTCATGCCAGTCTTTTGGGTTAAAGGCGGAGCTTTTTGTAATTGGGGCGAATCTTTACAGGGAGGGCTTCGATGCTGCTTCCTTTCATACTTCTTGAACATAAGAGATACACGTATATTGTAATTTGAACTTGATTTAATTTTGAACTTTAAAATCGCTAACGTGTAGTCATAGATTGTTCTTTGACTCCTTTCCTGGGCCTGCTTTTTTCCACAGGAGGAAATGCAGTTTTATGTTGAAATTCTGTCAATCCCTCATGTTTACAGAATCATCACTTCAGGAAGCTACACACTCGCTTCTCAGCAGGCCGTGGCCTCGAGTCTTACTTGAAGGGGTCCAATTTCTCTGGCGAGCCACCTTGGCTTTTCTGCACCTGAGTAACGGCAAGACTAAATTCGATCTCTTTTTCATCCAAGTAAGTATCTCACGATCTGTCTTTAACTTGAGTCAACACTGCACTGTCATTTTAGCAAATACGCCAACCGAACTCTTTCATTCAAGAGCATTACTATCAGAAGTACTCACACTTGCACTGTTTGAGATTTCCCCATGTGTGGGGAATGAAATAGACTTCAGTCATTAAGGACACAAAAGACCCTGAATCTAATCTCAGTATGTACTCGTCTTCAGTTCACTAGTGACCATGAACACTGCTACTCCCACTGAGTTTGAGTTCTCTTTCCTGGAGGAGGGTTTCTGTGCCTGGGATATTGTTGAGCAGAAGATCAGTGAATCATCCACGACGGTAAGTGTCCTGGGCTGACATTGTTTTAGGGGATACACGTCTGGCCTTATGTGTTAGGCGATGAATGTCAACGGGATGCAACTGAAAACAAATGAAAGTCTGCTTTCAGATTTCTGGTATTGTGGTTTGGGGCTGTATCTTATTCACTCTGAGTCAGCTGTAATATTACAGATGTAATTGTGTATAATGAGGTTTTCTATATTGAAAGTGATTGATTTGCTAAATGCATATACAGTGGTGTGAAAAAGTGTTTGCCCCCTTACTGATTTCTTATCTTTTTGCATGTTTGTCACACTTTAATGTTTCAGATCAAACTAATTTAAATATTACGCTTGATTGCAGTTGTTGCTGCCAAGCGTGGCCCAACCAGTTATTAGGTTTAGGGGGCAACCACTTGTTCACACAGGGCTATATAGTTTTGGATTTTGTTTTCCCTTAATAATAAAAAAACCTTCATTTAAAAACTGCATGATGTGTTTACTTGTGTTATCTTTGACTAATATTTAAATTTGTTTGATCTGGAACATTACAGTGTGACAAACGTGCAAAAAGATGAATCAGTAAGGGGGCAAACACTTTTTCACACCACTGTATTCCTTGTTTTATCACCTCATTACAGGATGATAGGGATGCCTTCTACATCTGTGACTTGGGGGATGTGCTTAACAAACACCTGCGCTGGATGAGGGCCCTGCCTCGCGTCACTCCTTTCTATGCCGTCAAATGCAACGACAGCCGAGCTGTAGTTATGACACTGGCGTCTCTGGGAATTGGCTTTGACTGTGCAAGCAAGGTAGGTGTTGTAAACCTTCAACAGCATTTGTTGTCGGTTGATTAAAAAGCTCTCTCGATGGCAAGTTGAAATTTCGTTAGGCAGATTTTTTTTAAATTGGCATTTTTGTTGACTGTTGCTATCTCTTCCCTCCAGACGGAGATTCAGCTGGTCCAGTCTATGGGGGTGGCTCAAAGCAGAATAATCTATGCCAACCCCTGTAAGCAAGTTTCTCAGATCAAGTATGCATCCACCCATGGGGTCCAAATGATGACCTTTGATAGCGAGGTGGAGCTCATGAAAGTGGCCCGCTATCATGACAGTGCCAAGTAAGACTTTATACATTTGTAATAAAGGCTTTATTTGGATTTTTTTCTCCCTTTTTCAGCATTTAATCAGTTTTTCCATCTTTGTGTTTTGCATTCAGACTCGTGCTGCGTATTGCCACAGATGACTCAAAGGCAGTGTGTCCTCTCAGTGTAAAGTTTGGGGCCACACTCAAAGCTTGCCGAGGTCTTCTGGAGCAGGCTAAAGAACTGGGGCTGGATGTGATTGGAGTCAGCTTCCATGTTGGCAGTGGTTGCACTGATCCCAAGACCTTCACCCAGGCTATTGCTGATGCCCGCTGTGTCTTTGATATGGGGGTGAGTTGTGACTGATACATAGGCACCTGATTTGTTGGGTTTTTACCCAGCAAAGTAAGCAAAACCTTCAAATTTGTGTTCTAGGATGAACTGGGTTTCAACATGAAACTGCTGGACATTGGTGGTGGATTCCCCGGGTCCGATGACTCTGCACTTAAATTTGAAGAGGTATCTTTTTATTTAATGAGTAGTGCATCACAGGGTCAGGTTTGTTTTGCCCCCCACCCCCAAATAGTCTGCTTTACCTATGGGCATTCACTTTTCCAGATCACAGCTGTAATCAACCCAGCCCTGGACAAGTATTTCCCTGCTGACACAGGTGTTAAGATCATTGCTGAACCAGGACGCTTTTATGTGGCCTCTGCTTACACATTGGTTGTCAACATCATTGCCAAGAAAGTCATCATGGATGAAGACTTGGATTCTGATGGTAACCACTGCAATTTACTTTTTAAAAAACTTTTTTACAAAAGTGTTTATTCTGAAATGTCTTGTGTAATTCTTTAGTAGTAGAATAATTGATGCTCTGTTTACAGAGGAAGATGAAGGAACCAGTAACAGGACGCTGATGTATTATGTTAATGATGGAGTGTACGGATCTTTCAACTGTATACTCTTTGACCATGCCCACTGTTTCCCAATACTGCATAAGGTGAGTGAAATTCAATGACTGAAATCACAACGGTTTCTCATCAAATATATGGGTCAAGGAAAGGTAACAGTTGATTTTTTTTTTTTTTAACCCCTTCTGTCTTCCCCCCCCTTCCTACTCATTAATACTAAAAGAAACCAAAGCCAGATGAGGTCATGTACCCATGCAGTATCTGGGGCCCAACCTGTGATGGCCTTGATCGTATTGTTGAGCAGTGTCGCCTGCCTGACCTGCAGGTGGGCGACTGGCTGGTCTTTGAAAACATGGGTGCCTACACTGTGTCTGCATCCTCCACCTTCAATGGCTTTCAAAGACCAGACATTCACTATGTCATGTCCCGTGCTGTCCGGTGAGTAGAAGTCACATGGTTAATGGCTGACATTCTGGAGTATACCTGGTCATAAGAATCTTTGGAAGTTTAAATACTTTCTGTTCTCTGATAATCTAACATATCTGCCTTATATTTCTCCAGGCAACATGTGCAGCAGGTGTGCTCCCAGGGCATGCCCACTCCTAAGGAGGATTGTTTCCTATTTGACATGCCAGTCTCCTGTGGCCAAGAGAGCAGCTCGGAGATGCCCACCAAGTCCTGCCAGGCCAATGTGGTTTAAACGCATACTGTACATCACACCAGTGCTCTCCAGCTCTAGCATTCTTTGTTAATTACTGGAGAAGGTTCTGAGGCATGAGTAGTTTATAAAGAGCCTGTTTGCTGAACTGGAGTAGTGTGTGGATATGGGTGCTTTGCAAAATAAATCTCTGCAGTACTTTACTGAAAGCTTTCCCTCACCACAGGACTTAACACTTGAAACTATAGCAGGAGTCAGAGGTCAAGGGTTACTCCTCTTGATAATCTTAAGAAGAATAGTAGCAGACTGCTTGCAGCTTAGGAAGTTACCACTGCTGGGGGTTTTACGCAGCTGACCATACAAACCCCCAAAGTTGCATTCCTAACTAGTAACTTGCAAAGAGATGGTTGGAGAAGTCATTCAGTTCTCATATACAGTATGGCTGCTATGTTAATATTTATATTTTCTGTTTCTGTATAGAACCCCTTGGGTGTTATTCCTCTAGATGTTGGCATGTAACAAAACATGTTTGATACTGGCATTCACAATAGTTATTCAGTGTCTTTGTGTTCAGTGAATGCTTCTCTGCTGAGCCACTATTTCCCATGCAAAATTTGAATACAGGAAAACTGTGCATTAATCATACTCTGCATGTCACGAACCCAAGTGCCATGTAGTGTCTGTGCTGGTACAACTGGAATGATTGAGACAAATTAGACAGTAATATAGATGCATATGCTAAATATTTCAAGCTTTTGACTCTTGTACTTGCCCCAGCAGAAACACACCTTCAATATTATCACATGACTTGTTTTCTAAGTTGCAGAGGGACAGAAATCTGATACAATTATTAAGCAGTGTTTACCAATCTATGTAAAAGGGATACAAAGAGATGGATTTGCAAATTCATAATGCTTTCCTATGGAAATTTTTTTTTAAAATAAAATATAAGGTGCAGAGCCAAATTTTCGCTCCTGTGTTTTGTACAAATAGGACAATAAAAGCAGTTAGCTAGTACAGCACTAGGAGACCTTAGTCAGCTGTTACAGGGTGTTTTCTCCCTGTGTTGGTTACAGGATGAAATTATCTCAGCTTTGCACATAGTGGGGTTGTGTTCATATTTCTGGTATTTCTATGTACAAATTTGTATCCTGTTTTCCTTTCTGCTACTTTTTAGGTAACTGTCAACCCGTTTTTTATTTAATCTAGTAGTGTATTGTTACAAATGAAAGCTAGTGTTTTGTTTATTATGCCAACACAAAGTGTATTTTAGGAACCACAGGTCTGCAGCTGATGAGGGTTACTAAATAAACATCACTTTAAACTACTGCCAGACCAGCACCCTGAAAACTGTTCAGGGTGTATAAATGTATTTTCAAATCACAGGCTGGAGTGAGATTTTCCTTCTGGAGTACAAGATTTCAAGGTCCATGCATTTGGAGAAAGTGCGGGTGCCAAAGAATAACCAAAGGGCAGAGAAATACTGAGCACAGTATTTGCAACACTTTCTGCCACTCTCTTTCAGCTCATATCCTGCTTTACAGTTGTAAACAGATACCTTTAAAGGACAAAACAGAATTAGGACAACAGGATATGCAGAAATTGTTGGAAATGATGAAATTTTGACCTCACATTTGCACTATTTCTAACAAGATCTGGGATTTTAATTGTTCCATCTGGCCAGTATTCTCCAATGGTTTCTATGTATGTGCTCTGACTGGATTCAGCCATGCTCCAGTATACGATTTCATATCCTAAACCAGGGCCTTTGTCATTAAAGAATATACGTGTGGTGTTCACAGTGAAGTTGACTTTCCTGATTTCCATAAAAAGCTTTGGAGACAAATGATGAAAACTGCATTGATATCAAATTTTTAAAGGTTTTCATTGTTTTTATTACTAGTGAAACAACAAATCAAACGGTAAATAATTCATATAAGAGACTTCCAAATATGTTTTTCATGTTTTTTTGCATTTTAAGTAGAAAAGTGTATATATATATATATATATATATATACTTTATCAGTAACAAAAAAACTACAATTTTTTCTTTTAAGCAGTGGTTTCACATAGCCTACTGGGAAATGCATTCATTCACTTTCTTGCAGCATTTTAGATTAGACAGTCCATACCACTCTCATATACAGTGCCTTGCAAAAGTATTCGGCCCCCTTGAACTTTGCGACCTTTTGCCACATTTCAGGCTTCAAACATAAAGATATAAAACTGTAATTTTTTGTGAAGAATCAACAACAAGTGGGACACAATCATGAAGTGGAACGAAATTTATTGGATATGTCAAACTTTTTTAACAAATAAAAAAACTGAAAAATTGGGCGTGCAAAATTATTCAGCCCCCTTAAGTTAATACTTTGTAGCGCCACCTTTTGCTGCGATTACAGCTGTAAGTCGCTTGGGGTATGTCTCTATCAGTTTTGCACATCGAGAGACTGAAATTTTTGCCCATGCCTCCTTGCAAAACAGCTCGAGCTCAGTGAGGTTGGATGGAGAGCATTTGTGAACAGCAGTTTTCAGTTCTTTCCACAAATTCTCGATTGGATTCAGGTCTGGACTTTGACTTGGCCATTCTAACACCTGGATATGTTTAGTTTTGAACCATTCCATTGTAGATTTTGCTTTATGTTTTGGATCAGTGTCTTGTTGGAAGACAAATCTCCGCCCCAGTCTCAGGTCTTTTGCAGACTCCATCAGGTTTCCTTCCAGAATGGTCCTGTATTTGGCTCCATCCATCTTCCCATCAAGTTGGGGGGGGGGGGGGGGTCTCTTTCTCATGCAGAAAGCTATTTACAGGGAAATGCGATGGATTAGCTGAAGCTCATCAATAGGGAGCGCCTGCTCACCCGGTGCTTTACAGACTGGCCACCAATCGAAGGGAATTTCAATATTTACCTACATCCTCGTTTTGTTAGTTGCAGTTAAGCAAACACGCAATTCGCTAATTCATGTTAGTGGATGAGTGAGACTTGTTTAAGTATTTTCCTTCCACGCTAATGATGATTCATTTGAATGACTTTAGGTGTGAATTTTGACTCACGGGCCATTGAATACAGATAAACAACAGGGTGGTTCGTTTTAACATCTATCCATGAGCCAATTTAACGATCATATTACAATTACATTAACTGGGCAGATAGTTTTGTTCTGACCTATTGTACATATGTTATTTGTCTGTCACACACACACACTCCTGCAAACAGAAGTATATAAAATGTATTCACACACTGTTGGAGTGAGATGAAATACACAAGGATTAAAGGCACCCAACACCACAAAGTCACATCACAAAATGCCAAAACAGTCAAAAGTGCATTCATCAGTCTACATGAATTAAATCGATCGTTTCATGTATTTGTTTTATACAGTGTGGCTCCGATGGCATTAGTACCCCTGCAGAGGCAGATCATGAGGAATTGTTTAGTGTTAGGCTGTACCGGAGATCTTTGAGTTCTGAAAATCATTTTCGAGCTGAGGTTAACAATTGTTTAGGTCCTTTTGATGAAGGAAAGCAAAGCAACAAATTACTGAAAAAGTCTAGTTTGTGTTGGCCGCTACAAAGTATTAACTTAAGGGGGCTGAATAATTTTGCACGCCCAATTTTTCAGTTTTTTATTTGTTAAAAAAGTTTGAAATATCCAATAAATTTCGTTCCACTTCATGATTGTGTCCCACTTGTTGTTGATTCTTCACAAAAAATTACAGTTTTATATCTTTATGTTTGAAGCCTGAAATGTGTCAAAAGGTCGCAAAGTTCAAGGGGGCCGAATACTTTCGCAAGGCACTGTAAGGCTACAGCTAGCCGTCAGTTGATTTAACTTAGCATAAAGACAGGAAACCGGGAGAAACAGCTGATCTGGCTCCGTCAGACAGTGACAGCAATCCACATGCAGTGGCTCCTTTAGAGACTCACTAATTAACATATTACATTTGTTTAATTTGTACAACATAGAAAGATTAAAGATAAGTTCAAAGTTGTAAGGATGTTATGTACCAGTCTATTTCCTGGCTAGAATCAGTAAATTCCTTAAGTCTTCATTTCTTGTGATGAAGAAAAGGAAGTCAGAAAGAAATAGTGCAAAAAAAATAACTCCACACGACAATAACAAAAAACACAGCCAAACATACTATACAGTAGTTGTTTCCTCCACTTTTCCAGTCTTAATGCTAGGCTAAACTGCTGATTGTAGCTTAATATTTACTAGATAAACATAAGAAAGGTATCAAAGTTTTCATCTCACCCTGTAAGAAAGCAAATGTGTGTTTCGAAAAGTGTTGAACTGTTGCTTTAAGACAACGTACAATATGTCAGTATGGCTTCGTCGCTATACCTCCCAGGCTGTAAATGTGGCACTGTGGGTTGTCGCACTTTGTGTCTGAGGCCCTCACAATGACTTATATTGTACGATTGATCCTGGTATGTGTAACAGGCCAAGCAGCTTGGGTCCAGACATTGCTTGGACCCATCTTGGTTGTTTTCTAAGGTGCAGATATTTTTTGTTTTCTCCTCAGAATGGTTAAAACAAGGTGCATAGCAAGTCAGGAAATCCTCCACAAAGGCGTCGGTGGTTCCCTTGAACTATGAGATGACATGGTCTTTAAAACCAGGCACCTCATCCCTCTTAGAGGTGAATCCAAAAACCTTCCCAGCCAGCTCGATGCCTGACATTCCAGAAACCTTTATAGAGGTGGACCATGCATCACTTGCAATCCAAGTTCTGTTGAGCTTGTATCTAACAGCTGTTTCCATGATGAGCTCAGCACTGGCATCCTTGGTGAACATGATAATGGCCTCTGCAGCGGATTCATTGATCTTTTTCATCAGCTTACAGTAGGTGCCTGTGTGTGGGTTTGGGAATTGTTCTGGGAAAAGTAATCAGACAGGATATCAATAAATTCAATGCAGATGGACTCTTCATTGAAAGTGTTCATAAGGGAATTATTGCCATACTTCCCATACAATGGCTAGTGTTTTCCAGTTAAACAGCTTCACCAGTTCTGCAATGGTCTTTGTCTGATATTCATCACTAGATACTGTTCGGAGAAAAGTGTGGAACATCATCTTGTTACTGAGCAGCTAGTTGATGCATAGCTAAGCTGTAACAAACAGCAATAAAATCATATTGGAAAATATTGTGCATGCAGTTTACAACAGTGATACATTTAAATTCAATGACATTATATTTATTGGTGTTATTGCATGGCTGCTCATTAGCTTCATGTGTATTTCCAACTGTAGTTAACAGGACACGGTATAGAGAAGACAAACCTGGGTAACTGATGACAGATCAACAACTCATGCAACAGCTGCTGACACTTCAGAATACCTTGCACTAAATATTGCCTCTGTTTTGGGGTCATGCTCAGAAATCATACATCCAAAAAGACAAATGACAGATGAATACACTTTTCTTATATGTCACATAAACAGACTAATTTCAGAACAGTAGAGTGGTCCCAGTGTTGTGCTTCTATTGGTTTGTAAGTGAAGAGAAAAAAGTTCTCCAATACTGACATCCCCAGGATAAAATCCTCTCCTGAACTAGGCTGAAATACACTCATGATACTGACCAGTAACCACAACAACAACATTTGAGATACACTGAGGTTAAACAGATGTATATAACCATGCGTTCCTCTCTCTACAATGTGACCAGGTTCTTGGACAATACCTCTCATAGAACTTCCCCTAATGGGGCGTCTGACAGAGTCATTTGCATTGTAGTCAGTATCCATAACTTTGATGCAAAACACTTGCTCTTACTGGAAGATGATTCATTCACAGTTGCCTGAATATCATTATCAGTTTTTACAATCTTCCATCTTCATCTGATAAACTGGGTTGGACAAAGCAGGTTCCTATAGCATATTGAATCATGTAATTTCTCTTATTTAGGTCAGTGACCCCACAAACACTGTAATACAGTTTGCATTGCAGTCCATGAGAGGGCAGCATACTACACATCAGCTATTCACTGAGCAAACGTCATTTGATGAATATAAGAAGTAAAAAATTCAGGAACAATGAAGTGTGCATTGAGTTATAATTGTATTGACACATATATATATTAGAGAAATTACATGATTCAATATGCTATAGGAACCTGCTTTGTCCAACCCAGTTTATCAGATGAAGATGGAAGATTGTAAAAACTGATAATGATATTCAGGCAACTGTGAATGAATCATCTTCCAGTAAGAGCAAGTGTTTTGCATCAAAGTTATGGATACTGACTACAATGCAAATGACTCTGTCAGACGCCCCATTAGGGGAAGTTCTATGAGAGGTATTGTCCAAGAACCTGGTCACATTGTAGAGAGAGGAACGCATGGTTATATACATCTGTTTAACCTCAGTGTATCTCAAATGTTGTTGTTGTGGTTACTGGTCAGTATCATGAGTGTATTTCAGCCTAGTTCAGGAGAGGATTTTATCCTGGGGATGTCAGTATTGGAGAACTTTTTTCTCTTCACTTACAAACCAATAGAAGCACAAAAGTATAAAAGTTCTGAATTTACTTAGTCACATTCCATCTTTGATTGTAGTCTTCCAGGTTTGCCTGACCTGGGTGTATTATAAGCTAATACTAGCCCTACTACTACTACTAATGTACAATATAAAAATGTCAATGGTAATAAATAACAAGATAATATATATACAGTGGAGCCTCGGTTTTCGTATGCCCTACTTCTCGTACGATTCGGTTTTCTACGACTTTTTTTTGTCAAAATTTTGTCCCAGTTTTCGTACATCCGCTTGGTTTTCGTACAGTTGATTGGTCGGTTCAGCGTCATTAGTCTGTACCAAACTCATCCACCTGCCCGCGTGACTTGGCCACTCATTTCCTGGAAGAAATGTGTGAAGGCAAGTAACCCCGGATAAGGCCTTGATACATGAAGTATGGAGGGGGATTCCCCTTCCAAACAATAAC